CTTGTTTATTTCCCATGCTCTGTGCATTAGTGTAGAGACATCTAAGAGCATGTGTCTTTCCCACTTGCTGCTGGTGTGAGGTTTTTTCCTCCCACTGTTGGACCCTTGCATCATTTTCCTTGTTCTCTCTATAACACTTTGACTATTATTTTCAGCCCATGATGTACTCCTGCTTTCCAAGATACCTTCCAAGATACTGTCTCCCTCCCCAACACGACTCAGTTTAAAGCCCTCCTGATCAAATGTTTGAGACTACTGGCAAAAATGCTTCTGCTAACTGGTGTAAGATGCAGCCCATCTTTTGCTAGAAGTCCACCCTCATAGAACCACAGCCTGTGATCTAAGAATCCAAATCGTTCTTGGCGGCACCATCTATGGAGCCAGTTATTCACATCTGCTATCTTCCTCTCCCTTCCTAGACCATGCCCTTCAATTGGGAGAAGAAGTGAGATAACAACTTGTGCATCTAGCTCTTTCAGCTTTCTACCCAAAGCCTTATAATCCCTTCTGATATTCTGAAGACTGTGCCTTGCAGTATCATTGGTTCCCATGTGGACCAAGAGGAAGAGGTAATAGTCAGTAGGCTTGACAAGTCTTGTCAGCCTCGCTGTCACATCATGGATTTTTGCCCCAGGGAGACAACACACCTCCCAGGACATCTTGTCAGGGCCACAAATCACTGCTTCTGTACCCCTCAACAAGAAGTCCCTAACCACCACTACACACCACCTCCAAGGCTTAGCAGTGGCTGTTCCCTGCGGTGGTACTCTTAGGGTCCCCTGTACTATCCCTGAGGACTGTCCCTGCTGCTCTTCCTCTTCATCCATGATAAGGGAGAGATCTTCAAATTGATTCTATAGATGCAAGCTCCCAGAATGATCCCTGGTTTCCCTACTTCTGTGTGTGACATTCCTCCAGGTGTCCACCTCCTGTGTGCATGAAATGAGCTCAACAACTTCCTCTGTGGTTCCCGTCCAAGACCGTTCATTCCGCTCTGTCCAGGAAAACCTCTTGCTCCCTAATGTGCTGAAGTGTAGCTATCCGGGCCTCCAGCTGCTTGACTTTCTCTTTCAGGAGGGCTACAAACTTGTGCTTGGCTTGAGTCCAAAACACACTGCACAAATAATCCAGTTTGAGACTGCTTTAACTGCCCTGGTTCAGTTCTAGGAATTCCTGGCAACTGTAGTTTTGTGAGCCATTGAACCTTCTCTGTCAAAGATATCTGATGACACAATAAACTAAAATTCTCAGGATTCCCAGCACTGAGCCAGGGCAGTTCAAGCAGTTTCAAAGTGTATTATTTCTGCAGTGTGTTTTGGGCCATTGGTCCTTTACAGACTGCCAGAAATAATGCAGCTTGAGGCCACTTTAACTGCCCTGGCTCAGTGCTAAGGAATCATGGGAATTGTAGTTTATTGTGTTACCAGAGCTCTCTGACAGAGAAGGCTCAATGTCTCAGAAAAAAACTACAGTTCCCATGATTCCCTAGCACTGAACCAGGACAGTTAAAGTGGCCTCAAGCTGCATTATTTCTGGCAGTCTGTAAAGACCCTAGTTACTCTTTTACAGACTCATCTCTAATTCACAAAGGTTGTAGTGAAGACAAAGTGAGGAAGTGGTGAACTGTTTTGAGTCACTGGAAGAAAGATGGAGTATCATTGTAGTTAATGAAACCCCCTAGAAACTAAAATGACTAAACTGAGACTATAATACTTTGGACATATCATGAGAAGAAATGACTCATTTAAAAAGACAGTAATGCTTGGTTAGGGAGAAAACAGTAGGAAAAGAGGCAGAGTCACAACAGGTGGACAGATTCAATCAGGTTGACCTAAAAGGCTCTCATTCACATGGTGATCCTAAGTCAAATTGGATTTTTCAGAAATTAACAATGAGTACAGAAGTGATTCACTGAAATATAATACAATACAATGCAATTTACTATCAGAAATTATTGTAACAGAGGTCCTCATGTGCTGTATGCTTACTTGTCAGGGGAACTGAATATGAATAAATTGAGCAGATTTTAAAATATTTCTTAAAGGTTTGTTTCATATATCTTGCAAAACATATTTCAGGAACTTCCCTCCTTCTTTGTTCAACCTTTCTGCAAGAGCCTTGTCAATTAAAAAGGTATTACATTCAGTCCTTGTGGGATAAAGATAGAGAATATGCCTCACTGGAGATAGTAAACATCACTTTCCCCTGTGATGAAGAGAGGAGAGAAGTGTAGCAATGCTGTCTTGCATTCCCATACAATTATTATTATTATTATTTCCAAGGGTTCACTGAGTGCTTCTGCAACTCTGTAGAGGTAGAGTGTATCACAAGCACAATTCTTTTCATGTCTTAAATGGTCTTGTTTTTAAAAAACAAGCTTCCAAAGCACATGAGGAAAAACAGAAGCATAGAGAGAAGACAACCTGTCCACTTAGATTTTGTTTCGGGGGTGATGAAGTATTTTCAGGGACTGTACAAGGACAGTGAAATTGGCAAGCTTCATTCACATTCCTCTGTGGCCTTTGGCCTCAATCCAATGAAAAGCACATGGAACTGTTGGAATTTTTTAACACTCTCCCCTGCAAGCTCTAGACATATTAGATGCCTGTAAACCTCCTCTGGAGATAGGACCAGTTTTCTGGAGCAGGTTTTGCAGGTTGGAAAGGGGTGTATGGACAGCTGCAGAAAGGCGGTGGGACTGTCCCCTCCTTGCTTGCATTCACAGAAGCCAGATCTGTGAGTTAAATGTCAGGATTGGATGCTGGCCAGTGCTGACAGGCGGAAGGAAATCAAAGGGAACATTGTTAGAAGAGGATGGAATTTTCTTTACGAAAGAAAACATTTGGGATGAAATAACAGATAGGGAGGGTAGCAACCTAATTCTGAGGATTTCAGGATGGATGTATTGGATTTTCCTGCATTTACAGCCTGGGTTGTACCCAATGGTGTCTCTGCTAGCAATTAATTTCCCTTCTTTTCCTTTTCACTCCCACATATGCATCAAATCAAATAATTGGGTTATTACAATGTGGAGACCAGGGTTTAATTTCCAACTTGGCTATGAAACCCACTGGGTGATCTTGGGCAAGTCACATGCTCTCAGCCTCAGGGGAGGGCAATGGGAAACCCCCTCTGAACCACATCTCAAATGAGTTGATTTTCCTCCTATCTTCTTTCTTAACTGTCCAGCTCTCACATCCATACATGGTAATAGATAATATTATGGCTTGTATGATTCTGACTTTTGTGCTGAGTTGTGTATCTTTGCACTTTAGGACCTTTTCTAGTTCTTTCATAGCCACCTCCCCATTCTTAATCGTCTTCTGATTTCCTGGCTACAGTCTCCATTCTGATCAATCTTTGAACCCAGATATGAGAATTCTTTTACTACAGTCGTTCCTCCATTTTTGCGGACTTGAAGTCTGCATCCCTCACCCATTTGCAGGTAGCAAATGGAAGGGGACAAAATGGGGCATGCACCGGTGGGCATGTGCCACCAGTCAAGCCTATGGGGCTTGAATATTTGCAATTTTCCATTTTCATGGGGGGGGGGATCCAGAACGGATCCCCCATGAAAATGGAGGAGTGACTGTATTTCTATTTCCTCACTGTCTAGTTTGAATGTGTGTAAGTTCTCTGTAGTCATTATTTTTGTTTTCTTTATGTTCAACAGTAAGCCTGTCTTTGCACTTTCTTCTTTGATATCCTTAAGGTTCACCTTAGGGTCACCATAAGTTTCCAGAGTCGTAGTCCAATACTCAAACCACTACACCACAATCTGACTCTAACTGCATCTAGCATAGACCCCTTGATGCAATTGTTGCATGGTCAGTTAACACATTGGCAAATCCCATTGATTCAATGAATCTACTCTAGTATCTAGACACATCTCTTTAAAATAAATTCCAAGTGAACCTGTATCATGTTTTTGCTTTCATCATTGGCAGAATAAGCTCTTGTTGAGGAGGATTACACTGATCACTTTGTTTTATATAATGTACAAAACATTTTTCTGAAAGCTCAGAGGAAAAGAACATTTCAGAAAAGGGTATTGCTATTAGTGGTGGCCCATGGTCTGAAAGGGAACAATGAGTCCCACCCCCAGGCCATCCCTAATTCTTGTGCACATAGAAAGAAATTTGATTAGAAAAATTGACAAATATTGTATACAGTAGCAGTAAGAATCACACAGTCCTCCAAATGTTGCTGGACTTCAACTCCCCACAATCTAGAGGTACATCTACACTGTAGAGATCATGCAGTTTGACACCACTTAAAGTGCTGTAGCTCCACCCTGGGATTTGAGGTTTTATAAGGTCTTCTCTGCCAAAGACTGTTGATGCCTCCCAAAATTACAAATCCCACAGTTCTGTACAATGGAGTCATGGCAATTAAAGTCATGTCAAACTACATTATATCTACCGTGTAGATGCACTGCTAGTCAACATAGCCAATGGCAAAGAATGCTAGGGGTTGTGATTTAACAGTATCTAGAAGGCCACACAACTCCCATGGCTGATGTAGAGTTAATAATATTGAACAGAACAATTCAGAACACACATAGAACACACAGGCAACACAGAGTTGAACTGGTTTCAAGCCAAACTTCTGACTGGTCCTTTCTTGACTATTACAACCTTAAGTTTCCGTTCACGCAATTGTTGTGCTTGATTGCAGAGCATTTCTGAAATGCCTGGCTACAATAACTATTAAGAAAAATTTATAGGCTAATACAAAGTCAAATTTAACCTGCGGAAGAAATATTAGGAGGATCGTTATGGTTATAAACAAAAGAAGAAAAAGAAGGAAGGTATTTCATTATATCACAAAAGACAGGAGGGGTAAGAAAATGGTTTTGTTAAATTGCCAGATTTGTGCATGAAGAGAGAAGGGACAGAGAGAATGGCACTCTGCAGTGGCTGCAAGAACTCTGACTTCACTTTTTAAATGATGAGACCCCAAATCACTGGCTGAACTGCAGTATGGTAGCATGTTTGTGAGCCAACATGGTGTAGTGGCTTTCATATTGGACTGGGACTCTGGAGGCCAGGGTTCAAATCCCAGTTCAGTCATATAAATCCACTGGATGATCTTGGGCAAGTCACACTCTCTCAGCCTCAGAGGATGGCAATGACAAATCCTCTCTAAAGAAACTTGCCAAGAAAACCCCATAATAGGGTCATCTTAGGGTTGCCATAAGTCAGAAACGACTTGAAGGCAGTGGCATCACTAGGGGGGTGCGGACTGCACCAGGTGACACCCTAAGGAGGAGTGACACCACTGCTCCTCAAACACCTACCTTTTGACAGAAATGGGCTGTGGCATTCATCTGCTTCCCTTTAAAGTGCTTTAAGGGATGGTGGGAGTGGGGTGAAGCTAAGTGGGAGGAGAAAGAAGGGGTCCCAGAATTTTTTAAAATTAAAATTTCAAATGTCAAAATGTCTTTTTTTTAAAAAAAAATGAAATTTTAAAAATGTTTTATTCTTTTAAAATTTTCTTTAAAAACATAACATTTTAACCAAATCTTCACAAATGTATATGCAAATACATTTAGGTTGTGCTTACGATATTGTAATTTGACGGTATAATTTTTAGTTTGTTAGTTGTTTATGTCACGACTATTAGCAGTACATTCAGTGATATATGGGAATTATGATATATGAGTAACATTAGTGCAAAAAAGCATTACTAAGGATTCTGTATGGTGTGAAATGGGAGGAGGCCAATGGGGGGGATGACACCATGAGTTTCCGCGCCAGATGACACCAACCCTAGGGATGCCACTGCTTGAAGGCACACAACAACAATAAAAATAACAACAGCAGCATGTTTGTAAATAATGTAAGAGCTTGGATACATTATTTTCTTCAGCTACAACTCCCAAAATCCCTCAGCCAACATGGCCTATGTTCTAATGCAGGGGTAGGCAACCTTTCCCCTTTAAGGGCTGAGGGACTTCAGCTCCCAGAAGCCTCAGCCATGTTGTCCAGTAGTCCCATGTTGGCCAATAGCTCCTGGGATTCTGGGAGATGAAGTCCCTTGGCCCTTAAAGGGGAAAGATTGCCTACCCCTGTTCTAATGTTTCCAAGCACTCCTTCTAAGATGTTGCCCCAACACCTGCATTAAAGGGCTAAAGCCACCTTGGATCCCATTTTGGAATAAAGGCAGGATATAAGTGAAGTAAATAAATAAATAAATAAATTAAATTAAGCACCATTGACAGGGGCAACTGCAAAGAAGAGAGTAAGAGAAGAAGCTTTTCCAGAAATAATTACCATGAAAACCCCAAATATCAATGATATGTGGGGAACTGGAGGGGGGTATGTGCCTTCAAAACATATATTCTTCCTCCTGAGCTATGCTGCTATATAGATCTTTCCCTCAGTACCTCCCCTTTCCACAGAGATCACCTTTAGGTGAAACATGTGCCAAGCAAGAACTAATCCCATGTCATTTCCTACTTCTCTCTTGCCAAGCAGGAATTCCTTCAATATCCTCTGGTCTAATATATTATATTAACCTCCTCCAAATCTTGTGCCCCAGACCTTTGTTTTGAATCTTGTAGTCACTCCAGTGAGCTGCCTATCTCCAGAAGCAAATGAGATCATTTCAAACACAACTCCCAAGAGTCAACCTAGTCCGAAAAAAACAGTAGGAAGCCAAGGATCATTAACAGCTAGCCTTGAGAAAGGGTACCAGAAATTTGGAAGAGTGTTTATCCGAGGAGCCAAGTAGCAGAGTGACAATATTACTTACCTGATCCTCCCTTTCCCTCAGAAAGAAAAGATAAAAGAAGTCCTTTTTTCTTCTCCCTCCCTTTGCTTAAATATTTTCCTCTTGCCAATGCAGTTTAATCCAGAGTAAACATTCCAGAGATTTGCTACTGCATACCTTCTAACTGTCCCAATTTGTTGTGAACAGTCTTTTGTCCTCCTACTTTTCCAGCTGCTGTTTTTTTAAAAAAATGACCCAGTTTCTGTCTCCTCTTCCCACTTTCTCCTTTTGACGTCAGCTGACTTATGTCGGTGCAAACTGATCTAAAGTGGGAAAGTGGTTTACACGCAGGTTAACAAGGTAAAGAGGAGATGGGAGGTTAGAGTCTTGCCTTTCCCAGTAGACTCAGGCAAAAGCAAACTTCAGCAGCCTCTCCTAGCATAACTTTTTCCTTCTTGACCACACGTGTGTCCCAGTTTTCATCTGTAAAAAGCTGGATGGCATGACACTAGGCACAACTGAGTTGGTCAAATACACCCATAATATTGTTCTGAGAGAGGGTGTAGTAAAATTATTGTTATTGTTGTTAACTGCCCTTGAGTCATTCTTAACCCATGATGACCTATTGATGAGAGATCTCCAAGACCCTCTGTCCTCCACTGATCTACTTAATTTCTGCAACTCCGTGCCCATGACCTCCTTAATAGAGTCCATCCATCTGGCATGTGGCCTTCCTCTCTTCCTTCTTCCTTCCACCTTCCCCAGCATTATTGTTTTTTTCTAAAGAGTCCTCTCTTCTCATTATGTGTCTGAAGTACAACAGCCTCAGTTTGGTCATCTTGGCTTCCAGGGAGGTTTCCGATTTGATCTGCTCTAGGTCCCACTTGTTTTGGCTGTCCATGGGATCCTCCTCAGCACTCTTCTCCAGCACCACATCTCAAATGAATTGATAGTCCTCCCATCTTCTTTCTTGACTGTCCAGCTGCCACATCCATACATGGTAATAGGGAATACAATGGCTGCCCCTTCCTTTTGAGGTTTTTCAGGCAGAGGGCTTTCTATACAGTCAAAAGATACTGGGAAACTGTTCTGTCTCTCCCACAACACAAAAATGTTCTGTGGTAAAGGGGGCGGGGGCAGAAAAAACGGTGCAAAAGCATAAAAGGCTTACACATGGAGGATAATGTAATAGCATGTGTTTTGGAAGGCACACACACATCACCTCTCTCTCACCAAATGCCATGTCTGAGGCAGGATGATTGCATAACAAAAGATTTGTTTGCAAAGACCCTCAGCCTGTACAGAATGTGTGATGGAACTGGTTTTGAATTAAGGGGGGCAAGGAAATCTCAAAATATTGTGTTGCTTAAGCTGTGGTAGTTAATGATAAAACACTCACATACCTCCATGCACACACACCAAATTAAAAGTATTTGTTGCCCAATGCCAGTCACACTATTCTTGTAGTGGAGGCAGAAAATGCCATAAATGCCTCTCTCCCTCTTGGAAGCTGTGTGTGTGTGTGTGTGTGTGTGTGTGTGTGTATCCATGCATGTGCATGCATGTGCATGCATGTGCCTTTAAGTCACCTGTCAATTTACGGTGGCCCCATGATTTTCAATAGAGGTAGTTTGCTATACAATCTACAGCATCAGGTATTCATTAGTGGTCTCTCACCTAAGTACTAACCAAGCCTGAGCCTTCTAAAAACTATGTATTTTTAAATTGTAGTTTTAATTATTGTTATTCAATCTGTTTTGTTTGATTTGTTTTGGGGGATGGGTGGGTGTGGGAAGGAGGGCTGGGATTTGAACTGATTTTATTTGTTCTGATGTTTTGAAATATTGTACGCCGCCCCGATTGCCTGGCAGAGGGGCGGGATATAAATAAAAATTATTAATTATTATTATTATTATTATTATTATTATTATTATTATTATTATTATTATTATTTGCTTCCAAGATCAAAAAGGTTCTGGTGCCTTCAGGATATTTGCGCCTCTATGGCAGCATAGAAACTCAACAACAACAACAACAACTATTATTATTATTACATTAGTGGCCATTTGATGCCCTCTCATGATACCAAAAGTAACTCTACTCTGCTAAATTTAGGGGGAGAGGGGACATAAAGTTGTTGGGGGGCCACAATTCCCATCAGCCCTAGCCAGCTGAGCCATTGGTAAAGAGAGCTAGGCAGCCCTCCAGGAGTGATTGAACTACAATTTCCAGAAGTCTTAGGGCTTGTTTACACCAGGGAAAAACACCAAAAACAGTGCTGGGTGTCCTCATAATATACAGCTACTTCCAGGATGATACCACATTTTTGGCCCTTGTCCCAGTTTTCCCCAAACTAGGAAAAGTTGGGGAAAACTCTGGTGTTTCTGAGAAACTCTGGAGTGACCTCTGGTTCTGTTGGAGTTTGGACAGCTGGACTGGGACTGATTTGGCTCTGTCAGCTGTCCACATGCCAAGAGCCTCAACCTACCCCTTCCCTGTGCTGAGCAGTGTAGGGAAAGGGGAAAGCTTGTTTTCAGAAGCACTGCTGCTGCTTCCTCATGAGCAGGAGCTCCATGGAAGGCCTGCACAGCATACCACCCACTTCTGCAGAAGTCAGAATGGGGTGCCCATATGATCAATGAGGAGAGGGTAGAACAGCCCCCTCCTTGTTGAATGGGGTGCCCCTTTCTTACAGCAAAAGTGATGGCACAGCAGGCAGGCTCTCACAGGGAGCTGCTTGGCCAATGAAGCAGCAGCAGTGGCAGCACTGAGGGTTACACTGATGCCGTGTTGTGCTAGCTGGCCCATGTGCACAATGACACAATGTCACATCAGTTTTGGCCTGGTGCATGTAGTCACCAGCACGGTCGATCCAGGGCCAATCCAAAGCATAACGCTCTGGAATGGATCCAGATTAAGTGAACAGTGTAAATGTGTCTTTAGTCAGCATAGCCAATGGGGATGGACACTGAGAGATGCAATTCAGTAATTTCTGGAGGGTGGCATTATTCTCATTCCTCATCCAGAGCTTCATTTGAATGTGTGCAAACCCATCCTCCCCTATTCCATCTCAATACTATGCACACCCAGACACCACAACCCTAGTGAGGCATGCACCTAAACCCACCTGGGATAGCTATTGGAGAGGGGATCCCTGGGGGCACCAGCCAAGGGCTCAGGGTTGAATGAGACTTGCATCCTTCTGAGGTTGCTAAAATGAGTACCCAGCTTGTTGGGGGCAATTATCTTACACTTTGCAAACTGCTTAGTACATCAGTAAACGGTATAGAAATGTACTTGCTATTGCTATTGCTGGGAATGTGTGTACTTAAGCCCCACCTCTCTGGAGTGAGACTTT